CAGACCCTCCTGGCAGCAGTTCCTGTCTGCCAGCAGCCTCTGTCTGTGGCAAGCCTGGGCCCCCCTCAGAACTCATGTGGACCAGCCTCTGTCCTCCGAGATGCTGGGGACCAGCCTCTGTCCACGGAGCAGCCTGGGAGGCAGAGCAGCCTCTGTCCACAGGGACCTTGGACCTTTCAGGGACAGACGCTGCTTTGTGGCAGACCCTCCTGGCAGCAGTTCCTGTCTGCCAGCAGCCTCTGTCTGTGGCAAGCCTGGGCCCCCCTCAGAACTCATGTGGACCAGCCTCTGTCCTCCGAGATGCTGGGGACCAGCCTCTGTCCACGGAGCAGCCTGGGAGGCAGAGCAGCCTCTGTCCACAGGGACCTTGGACCTTTCAGGGACAGACGCTGCTTTGTGGCAGCCTCCCCTACTCCACCCCCTGATGGAGGCAGCAGCGCGGGGAAGGGGTGGAACCGCAGAGCCAGTGCTGGCAGAAACTGGCTTCCCTCAGCACTGGCTCCTGCTTTCCCCCCACCTGCTGCCTCTGATACAGAGGCAGCAAGTGTGTGTGTGTGTGTAAATGCATGTAGTCAACAAGATTAACCGATAAGTCTAGGCTTATCAGTTAATTGTATAGGTGACTCCATGTTGACATCCCTAGTCTGATTTGGGCTCAACACTGATTAGCTGTGAGACCTGGAGAGCCCCATACGAAGTGGAAGAGCTCCAGTTCATGCAGAAAAATCTGACCATGCCTGGTTGCAATATTCTACCTCGTACTTTGGTAAATGGGATGACAGGAGATCTGCGAGTGACTGGATTTCACCAGTGGGAACGGTGCTTCAGCAGCAGTTTGAGGGGAGGGATCCCAGCTATGTGTTATAAATACAGGCAACATATACTCCTAAATATGGACTCAGGGCATTTGAGTTGACTGAACCTGACTTGTAATCCACCCCCTGACTGCCTTTGTTCTCAAGAGTAAAGTTTCGGATTGCAAAGTTATAGGTGTCCTAAGGTAAAACCGTTGAGTGCATGTGCACATACACCAGTACAAGTCTGCCATGAGACTAAAAGCCTGTGTAAGGTTTGATTTCAATTTAAACCCCTAAGCGCTTTTTTATGGGCATCAACTGCTCATTTCAGATCCTGATGTCCAGGTAAACGAAACACATTTAAGATCATATTTGGAGGTTTAGTTTTAATATGTTTTTTGTGTTTTATGCTTTAGACTGCCTGGGTGCTCTCTTTCGAAAAGGCGGCTTGCTTTTTCAAAAGTACTGCTTGTAGTCTAGACACTCTTTTTCGAAAGAGGCTTGCAGTCTAGACGTAGCCACAGGGAAGAGCAGTCATCCTGCCAATATGCTGACAGCCACTCTCTTTGGCAGGGGCGGATGAGAGTTTTGCGGGGCCCAAGGCAGCACAATTTCACGCATGCGCCACGGCCACAGCCGACAGGTAGTAGTGCGTGCGCGGGGCCTATTGAAGCACGGGGCCCAGGGCAGCCGCCCCACTCGCCCTGCCCTATATCCGCCGCTGCTCATTGGAGATCTGAATCCATTCAGCACAGGAAAATTCTTGGCATTCTTGGGGCATTCTTGGGGCACTTGGAGGACTGATAAGCAATGAACTCCCACTACCACATACCATCAGCTACCACCACGAAGAGTATTTTCTGAGTGACGTGCTAAGCAGTATAAAACGGTGGCTCACTAACACCTTCAGGACATTTTTTCCCTCGTCTACTTGCAAAAATCTGAACGATTTGGGAAGAACCAGCAGCAGCAAAAGTCTGAGCGCAGCTGAAGGAAACTGAAATCTCTCTGCGGGGAAGAGGGGGAGGAGAGTGCGCTGCTGCGTTCACAGCACCCTGTTAATAAATTGCTTTGTATCCATTGCAGTGTATGGGGTGGAAGGAGGGAGATGGCTTTAATGCAGGGCTGGGCAAGATGTGGCCCAGAGGTTGGATGTGACCCACCTAGCACTTCGGCCCAGCCTGCAGACTGCATCTGGGGGCTTTCTGTTTATAGCCTGCTGCGTGTGACACCAAATGTCCAGGCAGCGGCTTGGCCAGATCCCATTTAAATGGCTTCTGGCCATGGAACTACACCGGCAGGGGGTGAAGCCATGAGCCCTTTCAATAGCTGTGGTGACTCCAGGCGGCTGCCAGGCAATGCGGTAGCAGCAGGGCTGGGAGCTGAGAGCCCTTTTTGCTGTGTTCAGGAGCGGCCCACAGCCGGCTGCAGCAGCTGGCGCCCTAGGCAGGGCGGTGCAATCGGCGCCCCTACCTGCACAGCCGTCAATGGCCGTGACGTCATCATTGGGCGCCCTGGCACCCCATGATGTCATCATCGGGCTCCTGGGTCAGTGGCGCCCTAGGCAGCTGCCTAGCTCACCTAGGCTCACGGGCCGCCCCTGGCTGTGTTAATTCAGCACCTCCAGCCCTGGACAACTCTGGGGGGAGGCTACTTCCCAACCCCACTACTTCTGCCCCATGCCTGGCCCCTTCCAGGGTGGAGCTGGCCCATGACTACCTACCAAATTTCATTAAGTGGCTCCCATGCGAAAATTATTGCTTTAATGGATCCTGCCGCACTTTCGGCTGCCCACTTACTAGCCAGCATTGCAACAGCAAAGCATGAGACTGGGCCCAGGCCAGGGGTCCTTACCCAGCGTGAGGGGAATGCAGCCGGCTGCCACAATCTTCTGATAGGCTTCTCGGATTTGCCTGCAGCTCTCCAGCAGGTTGTAGAGGTTCACGTTCACATCGCCAATGTCGGCCACCATGAGGGAATGGAAAGGTGCGGCCCCGGTGCTGGGATTACATGACCTCATCATGCTCGACTCGGCCCGAATATGGCGAGGGCCAAACCTGGAAGGGAAAGAATTGAACACGTCATTCTCGGGGATGGTTTGAGAAGGAAACTTGCACAGACCCACGGGATTCTGAACACGCGGCTAATTGGGCACAAACTCCTTCCAGACTCTTAGGAGTTGAAGGTTGGGCCACGTCTCACTCGGAAGACCACTGGGGCAAACGTGTCAAGGGGTTTATTATAATGGAATAGTCAGCATCAGGTACATAATGGCTGTGTCTACACTGGCCACTTATTCCGGAAAATCAGCCGCTTTTCCGGAATAACTTGCCAGCTGTCTACACTGGCCCCTTGAATTTCCGGAAAAGCACTGACGATCTAATATAAAATCATCAGTGCTTTTCCGGAAAAACTATGCTGCTCCCATTCGGGCAAAAGTCCTTTTCCAGAAAACTGTTCTGGAAAAGGGCCAGTGTAGACAGCACAGATTTCTTTTCCACAAAAAAGCCCCGATCGCAAAAATGACGATCGGGGCTTTTTTGCAGAAAAGAGCGTCTACATTGGCCACGGAAGCTTTTCTGGAAAAAGTGCTTTTCTGGAAAAGCATCCTGCCAATGTAGATGTGCTTTTTCCGGAAATACTTATAACGGAAAACTGTTCCGTTTTAAGCATTTCCAGAAAAGGGTGCCAGTGTAGACGTAGCCAATGAGTGTGACCTATTGGCTTTAGCAGATGGATCATCTGTAGATCCAGGTGAAGAGCTTACTGCAAATTCAGAGAGCATGCAAAGATTTTCACATGCCACTAGGATTCTAGGCAGCCGACTTACAGGGGCCTGCTTTTCAGAAAGGCTCAACACCCACCTTTCTGAACTCTGCTCCCATTAAAGAGTCTCGTGTGAGGCCCCTAAATTATCAGGTGCTTTTCAAACCAGTCACGCTATATCAACAATAAGGACTGAAACATCACATAATCCAAGTACTGAAGTGCTTAGGCCATGCTTATTACTGGAAAGCTTAACATGGGCATCTCCCAGCATTGTCTAATCACGCTCAACGGGCACGCACAGAGAGTATTAGACACAGAGACAACATCCACATTAACCTGTTAGGTGCTTTGTCTTACACATGCATCTAATATGGGGACATCTGGTCACCCTCATCCTAGTTCTGTGATACTAAAGTGAGTGGGAATCTTCAGCTAACCTATCTCCCCTCCCACCTGGCCCGAAACAAAAAAAATGTCACAATATTTCACACTTGCTATCTGGTAACCCTAAGTGAGATGGTTTATAAGAAAACTAGAAGAGTTACCCAGTGTTGTCCAGGTCCTTCAGGGCAGTGGGTTGGTGTGTGTGTGTGTGGGGGGGAGGGATGCATGAGTCAGGGCATGGCCTTGGGGCCGTGGGAGAGGCGTAGGGCAGGAGGTGAGAGTGAGGGTCGGGGGGGCGAGAAGGGGCTCATGGCGGGGGCCCCCTCTGGGCAGC